CCGGAGAAGGGTTAGAAAACACCCTAATTAAGACACAACCACACCCATCTGCCAACTCACTCAGCAACTACTGAACAATTAACAGAAAACTACACAACTTACTTTAACTGACCAACTTACCTCTTGCCACACACACATTAACAAATACAACTTACCCAGTTCCTAAGCACAACAACCTTTACCTACCTATCTTCTGGAGCATGCTGGGCTCGAGGCAACTTTAAAGGCAGAACTTCAGCGACCGGAGCCCTGAATTGCCTACCCCCAACAGGAAACGAATCCCCGCCCAGGATTACTCCGAAAATAAAAAAGGCAAAACAACAAAAGAGTGCCCGAAGGAAGAACTTAATAAGCTCAGCTGGACACTCACCTAACTTAACTGGGAAGTTGAATCTCTAAAGGTGAAAAAAGCAAGATAATCAAACCAAATCCAACACAGAACTCCTTTTTCAAATATCCCGGACGAGCCCCCACTTGTTACGTTCCCCTGAGGGGTCTAGGCGGGGAGGGGGAAGTAACAAAAGTGACCCGGTCAGTAAGGCAAAAAGTCAAAAGGAAAACGTAGCTGACAACCACAAAACACAGCTCACCAGCTGGAAACACCACAAAAACACTCAGCTCACTAGCTGTAAACCACACAAATGGCACAGTGGATGCACAGAAGTTACATTTATTAGTGTGTCTGTGAAGGTTCTCAGTCATCCAGGTCATCGTAGTCAAAGGAGCTTGCAAAGAAAAGCGTCTGGACTTCTTTAAGTTGCTTGAAGACGTTTCACCTCGTTACACCACGTTTCACCTCAGGTTTAAATCTGGGACTCTCCACCATTTGACCTTAGAACTGAAGAAGCTTCTCGGATGAGAGGTGAAACGTCTTCAAGCAGCTTAAAGAAGTCCAGACGCTTTTCTTTGCAAGCTCCTTTGATTTATTAGTGTGGTAGATTTGGAGAATATATTTTTGCAATACTTGTAGAAAATTGTATCGTATTTGGGAAAAAAGCGGGGTATGGACTGCAGAACAAGTGAGGCTGAATTATGGAGGTGTTTCACGAAAATCTATTTAAATTGAAAAAAGGCAAAGGCACCACCCCCTCAAGTCAAACAGAGTGCAAATTTAGACAGGCATGCAGAAAAACCACAAACCTCAGGGCCATATTCAGCTCTGTCAGACTTATGAAAAAAGACCTGAATGCCTGTGCAAACTCATTAAGTTAGCATAGAAAAAGTAGTTTATTACTGCATCCAAGGAGATGGGAAAAGGGGAAATAATTGTGTTTCTTGTGGCTATGCACAGAAAATGTTGTGTGTCTTTTGCAAGGCATCTGTTCCAGCCTCGTCTAAAATCCAGTGAGTTTCTTTCCATGAGCAGAAGCACAACTGTTTTTTTCTGCCACGCTCCTGCATGAACAAAGCAATACATCCATTCTATACATGAGTTATTATGTGCATGCATATTCAGAGACACCTGCAAAGATGCAACTCTTTCCCCAGCTCACTCTCAGGACTTTTTGACAGCGTACCTTATTAATGCCCGTCTGTATATTTTATATGCGCTTCAATGCCCCGGCACATTTACCACCCAGTTACTATTTTCTATCATCTCATTAACCTGCTCTCTCCTCTCTGATTCATCCCTCCTGCACAGCTGCAAATGCAACCCAGAGGAGGCGGGCGTATAGCACACTCTCAGCTCAAGCACGTCTCTTCATTTACTTCTTAATTATTAGTTGAGTTGGGAGTTATGAGTAGGCCTCTTTTAGATTTTGAGTTTATTAGTTTAGTTTGCTTATATTAGTTTAGGAGAGCAGTCTGAATCAGACAGTTTCATGGTGTGGGTGGTTTGTGCTCTTCTTTCTCTTTTGCTTTTGCTGGGGCTCCTCTTCCCCTCGGGTCTTCTCCGCATGTCGTATGCTAGGGTCCTTTAAGCCATGGATTTAGGGACCATGCCACTATATCAATAACAGAATTTACTAGCCATATTCCTGTCAAGTAACTTGTACTTGTATCATGTTAATTATGTGGATCTGAAAATTCTAAATAAACTCTAATGTTGACAAAGAGTTTAGATGTGGTATGTCCACAATTTCATTCACGTGGTAAAGTAGTATGGCTACAATGTCAAAGAAAATGTAATCTGTAAAAGAGCCAAACAGTAGTTCACATTTTTGACAAAGGTCAACAACTTATGCTGTGGGCTGCGGCCTTGTTATCAGCAGGAGGTGAGCTGCATTCAGCGACAGACTTTAAGCCTGAAAGAAACCACCCAAAATCTGCACAAAGCCAAGCAACAGTAGCTTCAAAAGCTTTTCTCTGCATATGGATACTCATGCACAGCCAAGATACACTAATGAGCACTATATAGAGTTAAAGTTACATAAACAAATATGCTTTTCCACGCATGGTGGACAAATGATGTCTGCGTTAATTATATACAGAAGTGGTGCTAAATGTTTGAATAGGCTGAGCATTCAAGCAACCAGCAGTTCCTGATGTTGTTTGCAGCAGTCTTACCAACGGCCACCAAAGTTTTGCTCAGTGCACATCAAATAAACCACAGCGGCAAGCAAATGAGCATTACAGATGCAGTGAAGAACAGATTTGCTTTAGAGATTTGTTTCTGCAAAATGAAAATGTGCTCAATGCAAATCAGCAGCCACACAGAAACTAGTTAAGAATGTATGCATGCATGCAGAGGCGTGAAATAAAACAGCACTTCAGGCCTTTATGACATTACTGTTAAAATCAGACTTGGGTTTGTGTGTACATAGTTGTATTGCTACATCGCCTATTTTATTCACAAGATTGCTCAATATATCCTTAGATATGTGTGGGTGACATCCTCCTCACAAGTATATATGTAACCTCTGAGACAGTAGACCATATGCATAGATACTCCTGTGGCTTCCTTTGATTAAGAAACTAAGTAGTTGTAGCTGTATCATCATGACACATGTATGTCAGTTGAGTGGATAATGAGGGAAAAGTCCCCTTCTTTGATGTACTACTTTGTGTTATTCTCAGCACCACTCCTGTGACCAGTAGCAGCAGGCATATAATCAACTTTGATCTCCACTTCTTTTACTTAATCATTTTCTGTCTCACCCTCTCTCGCACACATACAGACCCACACAGAGACATGCACCCTCATTAAAATTAAACCAGGTGTGATCCTCTTACTTTCTATTAGTAGTCTGCAAGTTCAAATTCAAAGTTAGATGTTGAAGTAACAGAAAACTTGTTTACGAGGAAGTGAAATTGCTAACATTTCAAGTTTCTTCTCAGGCTGTTATATTTTGAGCCAGTGGTTTTCCTGGAGCACCACACAAGCTAGCGCTACTCAAGAAAGGCAAGATAAGATCTGAAACACCTCAAGCAGGTGTATCAGTTGCTGGTTCACCTCATTTCCTGGCACATATAAATGTCTTAACACCTCCAAACATGAGTTAGACAGTGTCCCATCTTTGCCTCCATTGCCCATTCAGGCTTGCAAACACTTCCCCTTTGCTATGGATAGCCATTAATTTACTTCCCCTTGGGTCACACAGTCTATAGCTATTGATCAAACAGCCTCCCAGCGCTAATTTAGTGCCTGTGACACATTCTGTCATGAGGGAAGCAGGAAGGCAGTATTGATTAACATACAGTTCTGCTAGGACCACTGCTGCAGCACTCCATGGCAAGGGCATAATTAACTTCCCAAAGCTCTTAGAGCACTGCATTCAGCTCTGCTCTCCTTTGCCTCGAGTGTTTCTGCAGCTCAGTGCATTGACCACAGAGACAGTTATCAGGACCTCAGCTCACAGTGGAGTCATTAAATCTAAACATGTGTACTGGTGATACTCGTAGACAGTACAAAGAAGCCATTTACTCAGTTCCATACTAACATATGCACATAGTCCCATTAGTGCATAAAGATGTCTCACCAAATGATTGCTAAAAGCTAATAATTTTGTCACTGAGGTGATTATAACTATACAGATATATACACACACATATATACACACACACATATATATATATATATATATATATATATATATATATATATATATATATATATATATATATATATATATATATATATATATATATATGTGTGTGTGTGTGTGTGTGTGTATATATGTGTGTATATATATATATGTGTGTGTGTGTGTATATATGTGTGTATATATATATATATATACGTATGTATATATGTATATACGTATACGTATATATATATATATATGTATATATGTGTATATATATATATCATTATGAGCACAAGTACAAATAACAAGTGCTGTATGCAGAGATTTCTCAAATCTCATCTCGCTTTTTTTTTTTGCTGCTATGCTGCCCCCTAGTGACATTTGAGGTATTAATTCAGATAAACATTTGCACACTTCATGTTTTTACACAGACAGCACCCCAAAATCACAACATAGTACACATATGATTTTTTTAAGGAGGGCTTTAAAAAATAAAAAATAAAAATAAGAATGAAACCTGATATATTCAGCACATCACAACACATGGCTGCCCATCAAATATAAGCAAGACTTAAAACATTTCTGAACAAAATTATCAATTATTATTATCAATATTTTTAAGTTATTACATTAAAAGAGTTTTGCAATTTTTATGCAGATCATATTAAAATTCCAATTAATAAAAACTGTAAACACTGACCTCTTGTGTTGACAGAATTTATATTTAATTTATAAAAACTTTGTAAAATGTATAAAACTACTGATAAAAGTCTTATCACCTTCTTTGTATTAGTTTAATTTCAGTTCATACGGTCCGTCATCATTACAGATTTGGTCTAAAAAGGCACTCTTTGAATAACTACCAAGGAATTCTGACATTCAGGCCTGTACTGTAGTGCACAAGCTTTTAGCCAATCTCATATGATGGCATCAGTGCAATATTGATGTGTGATTTACTTACCAAAAATATGTAATTTAATTTTTTCTACTTACAAAACAAGACAAAAAATTAACACCGTGATGTCACAGTCATTATCAGTGTTGCTGTTATTTATTTCATTTTTTAAAATTGTTCTCCCAAGTTCTGTCAATCAGGACGAAAAAGTGAACATTATAACTGACAAACCAAAATATTTTTAGCACAGAACGTCTCCAGAACACAGGACTGAACATAAGGTCATGACTGAGACCTCACAGAGTTAAATCAAGGCTTAAAGTTCCAGCACTGGCTGAACCATGTTAATTACATTTAGACTGTGCTCTAGAGACCCTGGATCAGACATTAAAAACTGTACTTTCCACTACAGTGCAATCTTAGAGATAAAGCTTAAAGATAAATTTCTAGTAAACGGAAATTTTTGGCTTCTCCTTCAAGAAAAAAATAGAAATAAAAGTCATAAATTATCAGCTGTTTTGGGGTCAAAACACAACCAACTTGAGTTACCAAATAAGTCCTTCCCCACTGAAGTTATTATAGACTTGTTACCTAGATTCTGTTTATAGCACTAGCTCAAAGGCCCCACTTATAACGTCTAAACTCTTGTGGGTTGCCAGCTTCAGTTTGGTTAAAAATATAATCAAACCTTCCTCTCATGGTTAGACCAGCTTATCCTTTATAGCAGAGGTAGGCAATACATTTTCTCAAGGGGCTACAGGAGTGGGACTGTGGATGGCCACACAAAATAATTGCAAAAAATGGCACGTTTCTGCAAAATGTCCACTTCAAACAGAGTGATATTTCTACTTTGGTTGTAGTTTAATACTTCATCTTCTTTTGTCTTGATCAGTAAGATTAATCTAGTCTGTTTTGGTCTTCTCAAGTGCATTAAAGTCAGGGTCAGTGGCTGACAGTTGAGTTAGACTTCTGTCTACAAACCCCACTGAAACCCTAACACAATAACTTTACGTGTGCCTCGCTGGAAACGTGACTAGACTTGACATCAGCACAGCTGTTGTGACTGGCCTCTTCAGTGCTGTGAATTCCTCTGCATGTGCATTTTCTGCTGCTTTTTCACCGCATTTTTTTAATTTAAATGTGAAGGACTGCCTCATCAATGCCAAATGCAAGACCTGCATCTTAGAGCTCTGGAACGCCCTCGCCTTTCTTCATAAAACTAAAATTTCTGCTCTCAGGTCCTACATTTGTTTTAGCACTTTGCCCCGGCTGAGTCACCTGACAGCTGTGGTAGCCTATGTCACCTCTCCTCCAATAGTGCAACAAACAGTCAGTGATTCAGTACTCTTGCCCTGATGAAGTTAACTATTTGAGTTAAAATATCAACAAAATGGTTAATTTTTTGCAACATCTCTTGGTGTTGTTTAAGTCAGTGCTCACCAAAATATGTTGGTGCAAAATACCACCTCAGCTCCAGCCTATCCAAGCATGGAGTTACTCCATGTGCCACTGTCATAGTCCCTTTCATTCTGTGCAGTGCTGCCAGTTCAATTTAGTTACTGTGACTTTCAGGTATTTTGTTAGCACCCTTTTTTGTCCTTCAGTGTCTCTTGTGTCAAGTTAATCTTATTTCTCTGTCCAACGTGTCTTACTTCCTGTTTTATTTTGGTAGCTATTGCTCTCTGTGCTTTATATTAATTGTAGCTTTCCTCCAGTCTGTGTTCCCAACCTATACCTTCTGTATATATTTTTTCAGTCCTCCTATGACACATTACCTGTGTGAGCTGTGCGTTCCCTCACTCTGTATATTTCTTGCCTTTTGCATTCCCTGACTCACTCTTTGGAGTTTTTGACTTTGTACATTTTCCTGATCGACCTGCATTAAATACTCATTTTTAAGTTTGACTCCTACCTCCTGCATCTTGCATTTGGGTCCGCTTCTTTTTATTATTAGGAAATATTAGCGCAGCAACTCTCCAAACTTTGCTAAAAGGCTCAGATGTCTCTGCATCAGTCATGTGCTTGTATTTGCAAATGCTTTGTAAACCTTAAACACAGCAATATGCTCTCACCACCAACGCATGCAGCTTTACCTCTGACTTCAGTAAATAAATATTTACAAATCCAGGTCTCGTTAAAAAAAACCTATATTCTGCATCAAATATAATTTTTTAAAGAATATTCCTTTCAAAATAAAATTAACAAATTTTGTAAAAGAAAAAACTGTAAGCCATTCTCTGTTTGTTGGATGAAATGGGACAAACTGCGTGATTTATACTTTTTCACCTTTGAATCCTAAATTCTCCTTAAACTCTCACAGGCTCGACAGGGAGAACCAAGGGGTCAAATTTGGCCTGCAGACTATAGGATGTCCAGGTGTAACCTACTAATCCGCTGACCAGATCACATCTGTCACACATCTATAGAACCTGTATTTTTCTGCTTTCATATTTGTAGGAGGAATATGTCTGCTTCCTGTTCATTGGACCAAGCCTTTTCAAACCCATTTCTTTTGTTGATTTAAAATTAAGTATTAAGTATTCAACTCATAAATGTAGTGACCTAAAAGGCTAAAAGGCTGCATCTACGATAGATCCATTATACACTCTTTAACCCCACAGACTCACTGATGTATATAATGAACCTTACAGCATAATGAACCAATTGTTTTAAACAATTACTCGCTCCTCAGCCACTCCTACCCAAAATAAAATAATTTTAAAATTCATCTGGCGAACAAAGCCACAGATTTTAGTTGCATTCTTTGTAAAAGGTGCAATGGGTGACTTACTGTATGGTTTTGAAGTCGCCTACAGGTTAAGTGGCTCGAGTTGTTAAAGTATAAATGCAGAGTTTGAGATAACAACAGCTCTTTGGATGTAACTGGGATTATAATAGAAATGGCCCAAAGTCTGCTTATTCCAGGCCTTGTATGTGGTCAATGTGTCAGAGGTGGCACCGAACTGAGTAATTTTTCAGACGCCAGGTTGTCAAGGTTTTGTTTTTCCGGCAGGTGAGCCATAACATTCAGGTCTATTGTCGGAGTCATAGCTGTTTTCAGTCTCTGGGGATTAAAGAAGGTAAGGTTTAAGCAATCATCAGTTTGAAAGTAATGTTCAAGCAAAGATTTAAATAAATAATCAGCAAAAGGACTATCCGTAATATCTGACTGTCACTGGAGCCACTAACCCATCACCGAACACTGCCCTTTTTATCAGCATGATTCAAAAGTCAATGGCCGTGTTTGTTCACAAACATTTTACCGCACTACTGTGAAAATGTGACACTAGTTCCCAGAAGATTAGGCAGACTGACTTTAGTCATGTTCTGATCCACCAGCAGGTCAACATTTGAACAAACATTTTAAAAAACAAATCTTTGATAATACATAAGTTTCTGTCACATCCAGGAACAAAGCAATGCCACTGGATTAGGTTTAAAGTTTGCTAATTAACATGCTAGAATAAAAAAAGTAAACATATCAAATAAATAAGCCAAAGTCTGTACAATCATATTTGCTTACCTGAAGAAGGGATCCTTTATTGTTATAGATCTCTTGTATTGCACCAAATGGGATCCATACTATAGAGACCAAAGAGACGCCCCAGCCAACCCATTCAGCCCACACTGGGTACTCGTACTTCCCATAGTGAGGAGGAGTGTACTGAATAATGCTGGAAACCAGTATGCACTATATAGAGAAATGAAGAACAGTCTTATTAACTACTTTACTGGTGGTTTTAGGTGCATTATTTAAACAGGACTCACCAGCACCAACATGGGGCAGAGCAGCAGCCAGCAGACTCGGAAGTAGATATTTGGACTTTTTCCTAGCATCCTCCTGATCATTAAGGAGATACGTGGGATACCTGAGAAAAAGAAAGAGTTTAATTATTTAACCCCTTCTTGCAAAGCGTTTTGGCAGGTGTCCACAAAAATATTAAAAATAACCCACAAAGCAAGCACAATCGAGCCAGATATGGCATGCCATCGCATAGACAGTGCCATCTATGCCAAGCCCAGCCCATATCTGGATGACATACATCTTATCATGCCAGAAGTCAACCAGCAGTGCCGGCTTGTTGCCAGATCTGGGCCAGACCTGCTTGCTATGTGGGTATGGCCTCCTCCATGTCTCCTGATGTACTGGCCTGTATCCTGGTAGCACCTCCATGCTCTGGACACTATGCTGACAGACAGAGCAAACCTTCTTGCCAAAGCTCGCATTGATGTCCCAGCCTGGATGAGCTGCACTACCTGAGCCACTTGTGTGGGTTGTAGACTCCGCCTCATACTACCACTAGAGTGAAATCACTGCCAGCAGTCAAAAGTGACCAAAACATCAGCCAGAAAGCATAGGTACTGAGAAGTGGTCAGTGGTCACCACCTGCAGAACCACTCCTTTATTGGGAATGTCTTATGCTAATTGCCTATAATTTCTATTCCATTTGCACAACAGCATGTGAAATTGATTGTCAGTCAGTGCTGCTTCCTAAGTGGACAGTTTGATTTCACAAAAGTGTGATTGACTTGGAGTTACATTGTGTTGTTTAAGTGTTCCCCTTATTTTTTTTAAACATAAACGAAAAAGTGAACTTCATGTGAATTTTACCAAAGATCCAACAGATGGCAACAACCTCAAAGAAAGCCAAGAACACAAGAGAAACCACAGCAGTGTAGTGGTCCATCAGCTGAAACACGTAGATACCTCCCTGTAAGTAAAAGACAGACCTACATGACAAAACAGTGACTCTTACCACATCCCCAAATGTGTTTCCCTGAGAAGTGTCTTACATACTGTACCTTGGTAATGTGAGGAATCCCCAGTACAAAGCAAACAAAGCACACAGCCAGGACCAGCAGCTCTTCTCTCTTCAGGAACGGCAGAACTTTGACTCCAAATTCATCCTTTATGTATGTCACAGCTACCTCAACTGTGGCAAACTGCAGAACAAAAGATTTAATACAAACTTAATGGTTATCTGCAGACCTTGGAGTTTTAAATCATAATCACAGTCATTCAGATGTCGTACATATTTCTCCTTGTTTAGCCTGTCTGTCTTACTGTCTGTGTTGTGAGTGGCAGATATGGCAATACTCAGCCCTCAGTTCTCTAGCACTCAGCCTACCAGCTCAACTCAGACAGACGAGCATTCTCCAGGCTTCTCAGCCTGCATGCTCTATCTCTCTTGATCCATCTTAGCTTCATCTTAACACTTGTATATTTACATTCAAGCCTTTTATATTAAAGCAAAAGTAGTATGGTAATAAAATATCCAAACAGTAAAGGCAAACCACAGTGAGGGTAAGAGACCTCTTTTGATACAAGTGTGCAAATGTTTCCTTTATATTCAAAAGTGCAAAAGCTAAAGTTTGATGTAAAAAATTAAGTGTACAGCGCTGCAGATGTTTAGATGTTTACCTGACTGTCCACGCCCAGACACAACAGCATGATAAAGAAAAGTGGGGCCCATAGCTGAAAGACTGGCATGGTTGAAAGAACTTCAGGGTACACAACAAACACCAAACCAGCACCTGAAATATAACACAACAGAGGACTTGTTGCTATTTTACAATGCAGACATATACAAATGCAGGATATCCGTTGCTATTCCAGCTTAAGTTGGCTGTGCTGTACTGAGCTGTACTTTAAATGTGTGTTATTTGGAGCATATTTTGAGTTCTGTTAAAATATAAACTGGGATCCATTCAGTGACATGCACATATTTCTTTGCTTGGCAAGAGTTATGAGATAAATATTTAGCTTAGCTCAGTTTATAGTGAAGTAAAGGGCTCAGACATGTTTAAGATAACCCTAACTAAAGTGTAACAAAGCACAACAAGGTCCTTCATTCATGACATGAGCTCCTGAACTCCCTGGAATCATATAGCTAGACAATAAGATTTCGCCTGCACGTAGAAATTAGCGGCAGCTTAAAGAAGCACACTGCAAGACTGTAGTTGGAGACTCGGGAGGACGAGAGAACAAAACTAGTGTACAGTGAAAAAATATTTGCCCCCTCTCTGATTCTTAATATGTCACTTATTTGCAACACTTGAATGTTTCAGATCATCCAATACGTTTAAACATTTGACAAAGATAACCCAACCCAAGGAGTGAGCCCAACTCCTGAAAAACATCCCCACACCGCAATCCACTAACCTTTACACTTGGTACAATGCATTCAGTCAAGTACCGTTGTCCTGGCAACCATCGAACCCAAACTCGTCCATCAGAAACGCAAAAGCGTGATTTGTGACTCAAGCGAACATGTCTCCACTACTCTAGAGTCGAGTGGTGCTGTGCTTTACACCACGTGGGCTAAAGCTCAGGAGGTAGCACAAGTCACCTACTGACCAGAAGGTTGGTGGTTCGATCTCCATCTGCTCCAGTTTCCATGCCAAAGATACTAACCCCATGTTGCTCTATGAATGTGTATGTGTGTTAGATAAAAAGCCCTTACATAGAAAAACCCATTTCATTGCCCCGTAGTTCTGTAGCGATGGAAAGTTAGCGACCCATTCTTTCAGTCGTGTTTGTAAAAGCAGTCTGAATGCCTAGGTGCTCGGAAGTTATTGGAATTCAATGATTTGGATGGGTGAGTGAATACTTTTGGTAATATAGTGTATCTAACCAGCACAAACTGCAATCAAGCATTCTTGTCTAAGGGGCACTTATTAAAAATTACAATTTGTGAAGAAAGTTCAACCAATTAAGAGCAAAGTGATTTTTCAAAGTGAATCAGACCTAACATCTGATGACAGCTGACAGGAACAATTTGACATTGAGATCAGAGGATTTTATCTGAACACACGCAATCTGTCTTTAATAACTCACTGCTTGACTGCTGATGCTTAAATGTTGCTTAAACACTTAACAACACTTAACTAAATTAAACTACACTCTCTCACACAGGCATGTATACACAAGTTATGTACTCAAAAAGGGCACTTGAAAGATTTAGTACTGTTCATTAAGCTGAGAAAGTCTTGCAGTTTCGACTATAGTATGAAAACTGAATTTGCCACAGTGCAGTTAGATTACTCTACTTACAGCAACAGACACACAATTGTTTGTACAGGCAGTTGATGAATAGTACTCCTTATAGTGAATACAGTGAATTTTCCTTATATAATTAGTCGGGAGCCACTTTAGGAAACTGCATCCAGATGTGCACATCCTGAAATATGCCTTTATTTTCCATGGAAAGAAGAGACATGTTCCAAGGACAAGGAAAACAAACATCAGCTCTTAAAACAAGCCTGGGATCTGTCTCCAGTCTTGAACTATGATGATCTATCTCTCTTCTTTTTAAAGTCCTCAAGATAAAACAAAGCTACAAGTCTGATGTTGTTTTCAGCGACTCACCATCTGTAGCTATGTTGTCCACTGGGAGGTTATGTATATGAGACATGTAACCGACAGCTGAGAAGATCACGAAGCCAGCCAGGATACTAGTGAAAGAGTTGGCCACTGATACAATCAATGCATCCCTGGTAAAGAAAAAGGACAATGTCTGTGAAATGTAGTTTATTGCTCTCGTGTTATTGTCAAGCTCGCACTTTATCAGAAATGTCTGAGACCTTCAGTGGTGCACATGCAGCATTAGCACCCCAGGATCTTTAACAGCAAAGCAAATTTTGAAAGAAAATACAATTTGTTCCATAAATAATTTAACTTTGTTCCCCACCTGCTGTGAGCAAAACAGCTATATAACCACATGCCCTCAAATCACAGGCAACCAAGACCACTGCTGTTCATCAAGGAAACTGTCAAGTTTACAGTAACATGCTGTGTCTGTATTAACTACAAGAAAGAGGGTGATACAGCATCTGTGTATTGAAGTCAAGTGAACCCACACTGTTCTTTTTCAGCATTTTGTGTCCATCTTATTAAAAAATGACTGCTTTTTCCACTCTGTTTGAGCTTTTTTTAGACAGAGTGTTATGAATGCTTACCTGAGAATGTTGTTGTTGAACTTGTTGTAACTTGCCATTGAAATCATCGAGCCAAATGCTATTCCAAGTGAGTTAAACACCTGGCCAGCTGCATTAAGCCAAACCTGTGATATAGACAGAGGAGAGCCGAAGATTGATACGAGTATGGTTTCATTTGATTTGGATTTGAAGGCCATGGAAATGTATTTTCTTTATAAGCATCTTCCTGCAGAGGTGAACAGTCTTGAGTGAAATCAGATGAGAAATCTATACGTTGTGATTTTCAGCGAACAAAGTCATGTCAAACATCTTTGTACACTGCCTGCAGTTTAGGAGCTATCGTTGCTAATAACTAATTACAAACAATGAAACTAACCATAATACCCATTAACATGTGACCTGTTGTGGTGGTCTGTGGTGGCCTGCACTGGGGCGCTGGCAGCAGGACCCCTGATTGTTGTCTGTATGATGGACGTAGTGAAGGAGGACATGCAGAGGATTGGTGTGACAGAGGAAGATACTACAGATAAGGTGAGATAGAGGCAGATGATCCTTAAAGGACCCAGTCAAAAGAAAGAGAAGAAGAGGTATTTGTCATGGTCTTCCTATCCTCACTGATTTTCTGCCAAGATTTGTTTCTTTTTCTCTCTCTCCCAATTCTACTTTTTCTGCATAATCCATCATACAACATGTAATCAAATGGAAAAGTCTCTTTTTAAAACTTGTTTTATTAGTTTAAATTTTTTAACTTTATGCATCAAGCAAAAATGTTATTATATGCAACATTCTCTGACTGGAAGAAATTTGTTTAACATTTAAACCTATTTAAACCTATTTTCTGCACATTCCAGCACACAAAATAAAATATTTTTTGTGTTAACACTTTTGTCACTTTTTATGGAATCAAACTTAAAGTAAGGTCAGTACTTCCACGCTTTAAACGCTGCACGCTCATACTCTCTCCTGCACTCGATATATTATCCATTGTTGATCTGCACACAGCTGTTGTCAGGAAGGTAGCACTCGCTTACATCACTGTCATGAGACATTCTCGCAAAAAACTCACGGTTTTAGTAACGCAGTAACGCAGCGTTCCTACGGGAAAGTAACGGTAATCTAATTGCAATAGTAATCCCTTATTTTACTCGTTACTTGAAAAAAGTAATCGGATTACAGTAACATGTCGCCCATCTCTGGTGGTGAGCCAGTCTGTCTGAGAGTGTTTGCTTTTAAAAATACATATTTTCTCTTCTTACAGTCATGTGAAAAACAAGGATTTCACAGGAATAACTACACCTATGATTCAATAGCTTGAAGCATCTTTAGCAGCGATAACTGAAGTAATTGTTTTCTTTTATCAATTTCTCACATCATTGTTGCAGAATTTTTAACAATTATCATGTTAAGGAAAGACTATAGAGTTGTAGTTCTTTGGGTATTTTTTTGCAGCAGTTTCTACTAGAGATGGACCGATCCGTCTGATACTGACCTAAATTACTGGATCGGATATCGGAGAGAAATAAAAAATGTAATCGATCCATTAAATATCAAAAAAGCACTTCACAAAACTTGTGACATGGCATATCTCGGCTCATAACCGTAGCACGTCGGAGCAGTGTGCCTCACGTGATAGAGCGGCTGTGGCGTGCGAGACCTGCCTCTCTCTCTCCCTCCCTCTCCTGCTGCTACTTCAATCATGAAACTGATTAATGATCAGCTGATCGGCTTTTCTGTCGTGAATCCGTCTCTCTTGTTTGTTTATCGCCCACTTCGCACCAGAAAGAGGAAACCAGAGGCTGAACAACAGCAGCACGTTTAAGCTTGATAATCTGTTGTTAGAATTTATTTAATATTACTTTCTACACCAGGATCTTTTTCTACTTAGCTGACGGCTGGTAACTGTGCAGGGGCGGATCTAGCAAAGTTTAGCCAGGGGGGCCGATAGGGCATTAACAGGGAAAAGGGTGCACAAAGACATACTTTTCTTTCTTATTCTCATTTAAAATGTCTAGCTTTTAATAAATAATTATCCGAATCTTACACCCAAAGTTTTAATCTGATGTAAAATGTATAGAAGTCCATTACTGTATATAGTAACTATTAAGTCTAATATACCCTAGTAAGCTATAGTACTTTTTCCTTTGGGAAGGTACCATCTGTGCAGTCTGCAATTCTTTTGAAGAAAGATGTTGAATCTATTTAATTATTCTTGAAAAATAATTGATTTCTGTGCATTTTTTTTTCACCCTGCATCAAATTAAAGTTGATTATGTTGATTAAGCATCATGAGGTGGAGGGTGGTTCCCTATTTTTTATTTTTTTGCTGGGAGTTTGCAACCCTATTAGTTAGGTTGCTTATTCTTTAAAATACCAGAATAGGGAGGATGGAGTAGGTTTAAGTTTATTAGATTGATCAGTTTTGCTGAACTATGAAATATTTTGGGTGCAGTGTATTTTTTGCATACAGGTATAACAGAATAGCTTTAGTGTTTGTTTGTTTTTAAACTTGCGTATGAACTTATAAGAAATGCAGCAAGATATTAAAAAAACTTTTATTGATTAAAAACACACTATATCGGATTCATATCGGTATCGGCCGATATCCAAATTTATGATATTGGTATCGAACATAAAAAAGTGGTATCGTGCCATCTCTAGTTTCTACATGCTTTTCTTTTCAAATCACTGTATGTGGCCAAGGAACAATCTCAACAATCTCAACGTTTAAAGAGTCCATGGCTGAAATAACCTTTTCAGGTCGGGTCTGGCATGCTTTAAGATTGACCCTTGAACAGACACAAGTTAAAAGCCTACTCTTTCAAAAGGGACACTTCAAGCTTCAAAGAAAGAAAAAGGTGACTTGATTTGTTTTTGTACGCAGACCAGTACAAACTAGTACAAATTGGGTTTTGGTACCAATGTTTAACCAACATCCCAGAGATAAGTAGTCTCACCTTCACTTCAAACAGTTTGCTCCACACCGGTGTGACAAAATAGAGGATACCATTCTTGGCTCCAGGAAGCTGCACATTGTTGATGAGCAGGGCAAACAGGATGAAGTATGGAAACACAGCAGTGAAATATACTACCTATAGAAAAAATGGCAAAAAAAACCAAATGGTGAATGTCAACTTGAAATCCCCCTAAAAAAAACCTTCATCACAATCACCATGACACAGCAAAAGTCATTTTTCTCACCTTTCCTGTGGATTTAACTCCTTTAAATATACATAAGTACACAATAACCCAAGCAAAGACAAGACACCCAAAGAGTTCCCAACGAAGACCACCTAATTCTTCAATACCGCGAGTCTTTTCCAGAAGTCTGTTTCTGTGAAAAGGAAAGAAAAACATGCGACTAAAGTATCTTCAAATACCCAGAAAATTCGAGATAACTGCGATTAGAACATATTAGTAAAGCCTGACCAGCATGCAGTACAATGCACTCACAGAGAGAAGAAAAAACTACAAAACATTTTGAGTTAAACAACAAAAACTGCTTTAAATTTGGTCAAAGACACTTTGCTAATGACTAATGACGGTTTTCAGTAACTTTAAGAAGAAGAACACAACATGATTTGAGCGAGCACTGCTTATACAGCACAAAAGTGCCATACAGAGTGAGCTGCAAGGAAGTGATGTCTTCTCACTCAAAGAACTGTTGGCTAGCAGACTGCAGGTGGGTATCATTGCCAGGAAAGCCACTCGAACAATTTCCAACAGCATTCCAGGTGTTGTTGCAGGACTTCCAGGGCAGAGTCTCCATTCCGAAGGAGTTGAATAACTAGTAAAGTGCCCAGCTCATGAGCACATTATAATAGGTGCAGAAAACGAAGGAGATAACAACTGTGGCCAGACCAACACCTGCAGAGTGACACGTGGGGATAAAGAGAGTAGTGAGAGACAGCTCTACAGGAGTCGTGCCAACTGTGGGAAAGAAGCTGTACGCGTTGCTTTATTCTCATACCCAAAGCATTACTGAGTGCCATATACTTGGGCCTGATAACAATGGCATATATCTTTTGTAGAACAACCAGAGAAGAGCCAGTATCATTAATAACCTCTGCCCAGTTTCCCCAATACACAGCCACAGACGAGACAAATTCCTGGGGCCTTTGAGTAGAAATTACGCCTTGTTGTTCAGCAGGTGAATATAAAAGACTACTGAGTGAGGTGAGATCAAAGCCATTCAGCAGATGTAAATTATTCAGTCTTTTAACACCTGTGGTTCTGAGCTGCGTGTCAGGTTTCAGACTGGGGCAAGTATATGTGTAAATACCAAATGCAAGTTTCAGCCTCCTCCTCAGGGAATTCAGAACAATGACTCGGTTAAAGAGCTCCCATCTGGAAGAGGTATACAGGGTCATTAATTAGCTGAAATATCAGCCCTTTTAAATACAACAAAAAAATCTGTTCATTTGCTGAGTCAGACCGTTTTATGTGTCGAGATCAATGGTTAGAAGACTATGCTGCCATCTTTCAGAATACACTTATTTGTGCGCTTTGGGAAAGTCACTTAAATGACAGCTAAAAGTCTGTAATTTAACACTTGTACAGTTGCTTTTCTTCATTTTCTAGTCTGTTTCCTAAATAGAGACTGTTGGTCATCTAAGCAAAGGTACTGAGGATTAAGAGACAGAGTTTTGCACCTTGAGATTTCCAACTTTTGCACTTTTTTTGTCTGCCAGTTGTTTTTTTATGGACTTTTTGTGAATTTCCGCTGTTTATGTAAGATTAAACATTCACTGGAGTATTTTTTAACACTTGTGTCTGTACTTCTACTTAAGTAAAGAAAGCCTGTATTTCTGCCACCTCTGCACAGCTGCTGCTCATTGTCGAAAGGCTGGAATGCCACGCGCCACAGATCCATGTCTGTAAAATATACATGTCTCCATGTAGTAAAATGTGGAGGGGGAGGCAGCTGAATAACAGCTCTGAGCTAAGGAAAACCCTCTAATCTCCAGGATCAGTGCAAACCACTGCTTAGTAAGTGAGCTCTACTTCCTTTTGTTATCACCTGTTTGCCTCTTTCACACTAAATATTATTTCATATTATATTATTTCACACTGCCAAAAAATCTGAAACAGTTCAACTAAAGAAAAGCAAGGCAGAGTAATTAAAGTATTGCTAGGATTAAGGATTAGTGGATAACTCAGACATGGGTATATTTGCTATATTTGTGGGAAGCTGGGAAGCTGCATCATGGATCACAGGTACATGACAGTAAACTGCACTCAAATTGCACAGGTGAGTCATTCAGAAGAATATACAAAAAAAAGACTACCTGCTTTGGGCCCCTGTTTAGCACAGAGCATTAACCAGGAAGAAATGAGCGATAAATCAAGTGAAGGACCCAAACGTTTTGACCGGGTAGATAATCTCTGTCCTTAAGGAGATAAGAAAACTATGGAGAAAAATCCTCAAGTTAAAACAAGAGAGAAAGCATTGTCATTTCACACCCACAAGTAGAGATTGTTGATGGCTGGTCTCTTGTTTGATTTAGAGGGATTTGGACAGACTGTTGGTCCTCTCAGAGTCCATACTTTTCATTTTCTGGAGATGTAAAACTGTGGGAATGTCTCAGCTTCTATATTTTTTTTTAACAACAATCGAACTTTAAGGAATATACTGATCCACTTTATTGGCCTTTTTAATGAATTAATGCAGACTCAGAGAGAACATCTTCAGTCGCTCGTGATTGACTTAATTATCACGGATTTTACTGACGTCAACTTGATGGTTTGAAAGGTTCAATCATACCTCACAAAAGTTAAAATACATGCAGTCACAGAAGTTGAAAATTTGGCTAAACAAGTTCTCATCCATCAACATGAAAAAATATGAAAGAAAATAAAGCAGGATTTATTCAAACCAAAGCATTAAGATAAGATAAGACAACCTTTATTAGTCCCACACGTGGGAAATTTGTTAAGACACCTGCATGCCTTCACCGTGGCTAAATATGGATAAATAATTTAAATATTTATCTGAGATCCTTTTTTTCCTTTACACTGAATGGTAATGTGGGCTTCATGGCTGGAGGAAAGCAGAAAATCCACACATGAGGTCTGTCATGTTTTACATAAATTATTCCCGTTTTTCATGATTGTCAAGTTTTTAAAAAAAACTTGCTTCTGTCAGGGTGTGGCAAGATTTCAAACCATCTCACTCTCATACATGGGTTGACTGCACTTTGTGCTTGGTTGTCTTTATAAAGTGTGTTGCTGTTTGTGTTTCTTAACCCCTTTGCAGCTTTAACTCATCCTTGGCTGAAGACTTTTCTTTTTTCCATTTCTGTGTGTCGTCTGATTCATATGCTATGTTTTAATGTTGACAGCAATTATCTTTGAAATAAACACAGATATAATCTTGTGTTTTCATTGTGCTACAAATTTTAAATACATCAAGCTTGTCTGACCTCTTCTACAGTTACCTGGGTTGGTAGGGCAGTCCATTTTAGAACTCACTGTTTAGACTCTGTATTGATCAGCTGGAGTTTCTGGTGCTGTTGGCTAATAATTAAATATTTGTCTGCAAATATATGAGTTGGACTCTTGGTTTTGGATTTTGAAATCTATTATAAATGCATACGAAGAAAAAACGTGTTTTAAAGGTGGTCCAACAACAAAAATAAATAAGTCCTGGATAGTAACTTACCTTTCAACAAGGGACAGATTTTGGCGAAAGCATGCACAGGCCCTAAACGAGTATACTGCCCAACAGTAAACTCCATGAAGAGCAGAGGAATGCCACACACGAGCACCATGGTAAGATAAGGAATCAGGAAGGCACCTGAAGAAAACAAAATTTAGCAGGTTTACAGCTCTTCTGAATAAACCAGCTGCAGAAAATTCCAAATAAATACTGCTGCCAATGTCCAGATGACAATTGTAAGCTCACAGTGATTGTTTTATAGTAGTCATATATTTATAATAACTAAGTAAGTAACTGCTGAATATCCTCTTTAACAAAATCTAGACAGCTTCTACGCTGTTTAGAAGTTAGTGTTTGTTCCTTTGCTTGCTTGTTTTGCTGATCATTTATGGTCGGTGGTTCGATCCCAGGCTGCCTCCTTGCTGCATGCCAAATATCCTTGGGCAAGATACTAACCCCATGTTTGCCTACTGGTGGTGGTCAGAGGGCCCGGTGGCGCCAGTGTCCGGCAGCCTCGCCTCTGTCAGTGCGCCCCAGGGCAGCTGTGGCTACAATGTAGCTTGCCATCACCAGTGTGTGAATGTGTGTGTGAATGGGTGAATGACTGAATGTAGTGTAAAGCGCTTTGGGGTCCTTTGTCATGGTCCTGGGTCGGTGACCCAGCGCTTTAAGTTTATTATTATCATTTTCCAGTTCATCATGATTATTATTGTTGTTTGAGTTCTACGTGTTATATTCGGTCTGTATCTCTGTCTATGGTGTCACCCCGTCTGTTTGTGAATCTGTTTAGTTCAGCGTCTTGTCTGGTGTCCTGTTTTATTGTGAAGGTCTGTGTCATATGTGAGTGTGTTCAGTTTACGTTTCCCCTGTCTCGTCAGCTGTGATTTCTCCCAGGTGTGTTCCCCTCCTGTCTCTCATCCCTTGATTACTGCCGTCTGTGTATTTAAGCCCTGTGTTTCTCTGTGTCAGTGTCGCGTCGTTAACGGCTGTTCACCCTCAACTTGCTGTGTGTTCATGATTTCCAGTCCTCCTGCATCTCAGTTTAGAGTTTTGTTTGCTTTTGTGAGTTTTATTTTATGTTGAAGTTTTGTTCCAGCAATAAAGCTGCATTTTCAGTTGAAACCTCGTTTCCTAAGAGTCCTGCACCTTGGGTCCACCACTCCTGCCTGCCTGCCACACAGCCAACCATGACATCCTTAAGGACTAGAAAAGCGCTATACAAATGCAGGCCATTTACCATTTTACCATTTATGCAACAGAGTACAATTTCCACTAGAGGCAGAATTTGCTTGTATAATTTTTTTGTGATGATTATCAAAAAGCATACAGCTGATGCTCAGTTTCTATTTCTTAAATGCTGGTGTCAAATATTTTATTATTATGATAAATGATTATGATATTTTATACTAGAGCAATGTCATTTCAGCCCCAGATTTGAACGTTTCTGTCACTGTGCTTAAGGAACCCACGCACATGCATGTGCCACTTTTCAAATATGTGCATGAGGAAAAATAGCAGGAGCTGTAATTGCGGGTGTAAAAGTTTGAACAAAGTGTATCTGAGCATTATTGACGAAATAATGATGGAAAAAAGCATAACTGAAAACATAACTAAAAGTAAATCTGAAATGTACAGAAAATGTATTTCTTTTATGTTTGTGCCCATTTCTACTTATTTATTGAAGTAAGTATGAAATATTAAAGTCACTAAGAGTTAACCCCTTTTATTGTCTTTGCATTTTCTCATTCAATTTTATATTACCAGTTATTTTGAAACAAATAAAAAAAAATCCATAAAAAACAAATTAGTAAATAACTAAATAACCCTTGCTGACCACTTCAATGTTAATCTACTGTTTAACAGACTACACAGTCACTGTTACATAACTGAAGAATCACGATAAATGATGGAGTGCAGGTAACCAATCATATCATATGATGATTGTTAGGTATTTTAGTACCATGGGAGCATTTACTGGATATTGTTTTATAGTGACATTATACAGGAAAACTCTGTCATTCAATAAGGCCCCTTTGTTTTAGTTATTTTTCTCTTTGACCCAAGAATTGATGTGTGAGAATCACAGGCTGGTACAAGGTTGAAATACCACAGAGATCACTCCCTCAGCTACATTAGTTTCTAAATCTCTTAGGAGACGCCTGTTGAAGGCCAGATGGTTTGTTTCAGAATTCACTAATGAAAGAACTCTTTATTTCGTGCCTTGAAAATATGTCGCTGAGATAATCATAATTGTAGCTGAACTGATAAACTATACAAAGGGTGCTTCTTCACCCAAGGGCAGGAAGACGCTCCCTTATCTTGGTCTGTACTGGTTTAAACTGAGAATCTGCTGACTCGTGAATTTTTCCCTCTATATAAACTGTTGTACTTGAGAATAAAGTTGAGTCAATTTGGGAAGACAACCTGAAGCAGTCTCTGTTTTCTTGTTCTCCCAAGCTGCTCCCGAGCTCGTACTAACACGCTGAATGGCATGCTTGAATGTTGCTTGAGAATATATTTGACTGTGTTACAGATTAAGGGACAATCTCTGCTGATAGACGCCCACGCCTCGGAGGAAGCCGATCCACGGATTAGGCCCTGGAAGCCGTTTCCTTCAATGATGATTTTTTTCAGTCCCGCCATGCAGAAGCCTAATAAACTAAAAAAAAAAAACAGTAGCTGCTGCTATGTTTACGGTCTGCTTTGTGCTCCGTGTCTTTAGCACTCTTACCTCCACCGCTGTTGTAGCACAGGTACGGGAATCTCCAAACATTACCGAGTCCCACGGCGTAACCCACCGTGGACAGGATGAACTCCAGCCGGCCGCTCCATGTGGGTCTCTGAGCCTCTGCGGTCATCTCGAGATCTGCAGTACCTGATTCCCTGCTATCAGAGGTTTCCCGTGAGTTCTCCACACCAAAATCCATTGTAGCTTAGTGATGAAGGTAAAGAGGGTTTTATTAAATCAAGATGATTCGTGCTTTAATTTGTCACAACAAATAAGTTGACTAGATTTGGTGGAGTGATGTAAAGACAAGAGAAAAATGAACTTCTAGAGGGTCTGAACCAAAGATGTCTGAGGATAAAAGGGGATGATATGCGCTACCAAGACAGCAACGACATCCCAACAAGGACTCCTAACCCAGACAGGTGTCATGTATGTTAAGGCAAAGCCCACTCCTTGTGTAAGCCTGCCTTTTCACCCTTTTGCCGGTGTTGCACAACACCTGGCTACTGTCAAACAAGTGTGGGTGTTTTGGATTGGCCCGTTCCCTTTCTTTCCAAAATAAAGGTCCAGAATCCCACCCTTTTCGTAATTGACAGACACATAAAAAGAACCATTAACGAAGTCTTCTGGCTGGTATCAGCACAAAATAAATATGAATGTGATTCAAAATATTCCACATCAAATGAGGAGAAAGTTTTAAACAGGGAAAAAAAGAACAAGCTGCCACCCACGTGGAGTACACTAGCCCAGACAGTGTGTCACAGATTAGTAGGCAGAGGACTCACTCGCAGGACTCTGAAGTTTAGAGAGAAGGTGAGGGTTTATTTGCAATGTGAAACAGATAACGCGGGGCTCCAGGGAGTAGGGCGGGGTCCGAAGGGAAGGTCCAAGACGGGGGTACACACTCGCTCTTCTTCAACTTGATCCGTAACTCACTCCAAATGTCCACACCAAAAAGCTCACGCTCACTCACACACATCCACAGAAATCCAGACGGCAGGGAAGACGGGCAGGGAGTCTAGAAGGCCTGTACACAGAGAAAAAAAACAATGTCAGGAGGAAACTCTAGGACAGGGGTGCTCAATACGTCGATCGCGATCGACCAGTCGATCGCAAAGGTAGTATTGGTAGATCGCATGGCATTAAAAAAAAAAATAGATGCCAGCCTATCATCCATCCCGTCACTTGATTGATACAGGGAAGCCAGTCAGATGACAGCAGATTTTTTCTGACGCTTAGGTCGCTGCGCATGCGCAAACAGCGGCGCGAAGTGTAGTAAAACTGACAAGCTAGTCAGCGAGTTAACTCCAATTTTTAGCTCTCGGTTTTTTCTCTTAAACCTGGCCGTCAGCAGCTACTGTCCGGACTATGCATCCCTGGCTGATTCAATTCAGTGCAAGTCATCAGAGTAAACTCAGGTAATGACTGACTAGGATGATCAATAACTGTGAATCCAATTTTCATGGGCTAGGCTACACTGACGCTAGGTAGTGTGACGGTCCAGCGAGGAAGCAGCCTCTCTTGCCATCTTAAGTAGTCTGCCAGGATCAGTGTGAATGAGCCACAGGTGCGTGTTCAGGGCGGGTTCAGAGGCGGGGAATCAAGGTCCAGTTCCGCCCTGGTGGGAGAGGCTAAGACAAAAAATACACACACCACGACCTCTCCAGATCTTTAGAACCATGACACAGTGGTAGATCGTCTTGCATCCCTCTTTTATTTTGAAAGGAACCCGTTAACTCTATTCCTGCTCCCGCTCCGCTTTACTGGCCTAATGCGAGTTTGAATCGTATGAATAGATCACTGGCTTTGTTCGGTGTAATATTTACCATGTAGACCAGTTTCCTTTACTGGCATAGGGAAAAACTCATAAAGAGGGATTACTCTAGCCAATATAAAGTTGAATTGAAGGTTCTTTTAAAGTGGTTTTATTTATGGTCCTTTCTGCTCTTTTTACAAAATCTATATTGGATGAGTGTGTGCAGAGTTTTATTGCTTAAAAGCAAATACACTATTCTACTCTGTTCTATAGGGTTTATGTTCCGTAAACGTGTGCCACAAGCTGGTTGAACCGCAGACTGACCCGAAGACTAATTTAGCTGTCAAGTAGCAGCCAATCAGAACGCTCCCTGCTTGCACGAGGAGACTGTTGGTGGTTGTTGGGAAAAGGGAATGGAAAGAGAGCATTGAAGGACTGTAGCATTGATTTATTCCTCAAAGATGACGGTGTGCTTTTGTATGTGTATGCGTGTGTGTACATGTATGCAAGCATGCATGTTGGTAACCAGTAAGCAAATCCAAGGCTTGCTTTCCATGCGCTTAACTGCTTATATTGTGTTTCTGACAACCTAGCTTTGTCCAACTTTGCAACATGTCAGTTGGTTGGAATGGCCTCGTCGGATGGTTTCGTTCCTGTTTATTAGCTTGTAAATTTTGACATTAGAGCAAGTTCATATGCTTTGCACAGTTTAGGCGTTGCATTGCTTTTTTGTTGCATTGTTTTAATGGACAGCAGGCAAGAACTACCGCGTAGCACCCCACATTATATAGAGGCCTCCTTGTTGCGTTTGGGTTATTTGTTTTTAAAGTTGCAGTGTTAAAAATGTCATCACTAGATTTCAGTAGATTGCAGACTGCAGTCAGCTGTTCTGTTTTCTTAACCCTCACAATTCAAATACATACTTTTTGATGGCTATCTGTGGTGAATGTAAGCTGCCAGTCCCCTGTTTACCTCGGCTGTTAGTAGACTGCAAAGCTTTGTGAAAGGGGTAAATAAATGAGAAGAAATCAATTAGGAAAAAAATATAATGTTCATGCACATTTCATGGGTCAGAGCCCTGACTTCAGTGCAGGAGATGAGGCTTGAGGTGTGTTTTCTCTTTCCTTCACGTTTTCACTTTTCTGGTGAAGAGCTGCCCAAGATATGAAGGCAAGGTCTTTCATATCTTGAGTCTGAAAGTACAGCCATTAATTAAAACATGCCTCTGCATTATGTTTAAGTTCACTGGCAAAAAGAGAAGTTTGTGTCTAAATATGTTATATTGCATGTTTACACAGCAGATGTAAACTTGAGGTTACTCTATTCCGTAACCCCTGTTCTCTGATAACATGAGTGAGGTGTCTCACTATGGGGAACGCTCTCTCAGCGTTGTCCTCAGAAGCCTCTATATCATTACTCCAGCCAGTATTGGCTGGCAGTCGTGACGCTTGCGTCAGGGAGGGGCCACCCTCCTCCCTATAAAAGGGTGTGACGCAGCGTCACCCGTCATTCAAGATAAGCTCACCTCTTCCTCGCTTCGTGCAAGGAGGGTGATCTGGTGAGACACCTCACTCATGTTATCAGAGAACAGGGGTTACGGAATAGAGTAACCTCAAGTTCTCTTTCAAACATTCGTTTCGGTGTCTCACTATGGGGATATGCAGACTCCCGTATTGCCAGATAAGCCCATCTGAACGACTGACTGCCAATTTAGGAGGTCTTGTGGGGACCCACACTTAACACAGCGTGGGCTAGAGACGGTGCAGTGACATCCAACCTGTAAAACCTTGCAAAGGTCAAAGGTGAAGCCCAGCTCGCAGCTGCACATATCTCTTCTATAGAGACACCCCTAAAAAGGGCCCAAGAGGTTGCCATCCCTCTGGCAGAATGGGCACGAAGTCCCTCCGGGGGGGGCAGACCCGTGCTGGAATAAGCCAATTGGATCGCCTCGACAATCCAGTGGGAAATGCGTTGTTTGCTAACGGGCTTGCCAAGATGTGGTTTAGCCCAGGAAACAAACAGCTGATCCGACCTCCTGAAAGCCTTCGTCCTCTCTATATAGGTACATAAAGCCCTGACTGGACAGAGAGCATGTAGGCGCTCCTGTTCAGGGGAGGAGAAAGGAGGAGGGCAAAAAGCTTCCAGCTCCAATGGGGTGCATTGAAGATAAGGGTTTTTGGGCACAAAGGCCGGATTTGGCCTGAGTGTGACTCTAGAGTTATCCCGTGTGAAGCGGGTGCACTCTTTGTGTATTGACAGCGCATGAATATCACTGACACGCTTCGCAGATGCGAGGGCCAGGAGCAATGCAGTCTTCAAAGACAGGATTTTTATTTCCACCTGGTTTAGTGGTTCAAATGGTGGCTGTGAAACTGCCCCCAGCACCAGGGATAAATCCCACGTGGGAACGAGAGGTTTAGACACTGGGTGGAGCCGCCGTGCCCCTTTCATGAAACGGCAGACTAGCGGGTGATGGCTCACCGGGCCATCCACGAAGCCCACATGGCAGGCTGAAATGGCTGCTAGATATACTTTAATTGTGGAAAAGGCCTTTCCTTTATCTAACAGTTCTTGGAGAAAGGAGAGAATTGTTGTCACAGAGCACTGAAAGGAGAGAGTGTGAGACTTTCCACACCATTCCTCAAATACCCTCCACTTGTTCTCATACAATGATCTTGTGGAGGGGGCTCTAGCACTCTGAATAGTGGCTATAACACCCTGGGGGAGTCCTGCCGTACTCAGATTCAACCTCTCACGGGCCAAGCCCACAGGGCGAGGCGCTCGGGGTGAGGGTGAAAAATCTCCCCCCTGGCTTGGGAGACTAGGTCTCGTCGGAGAGGGAGAGGCCAAGGTTCGCTCCACAAGAGGGGCATGATCTCCGCTAACCAATGGGACCTCATCCACCTTGGGGCGATCAATATCATTGTTAGCCCTCTCTCTCTCACTCTGGTTAGAGTGGGAGAAATTAAGGCCAGTGGAGGGAACGCATAAAGCAGAGCATGTGGCCAGTTGTGAGCTAATGCGTCTACCCCTAGCAGAGCCTCCTGGTCCCTCAGGGAGAAATACAGCGGACACTGAGCGTTCTCCCTCGAGGCAAACAGATCGACCTGTGGCTGGCCAAAGCGGGTCCAGATTTGGGTCACCACATGTGGGTGTAGGGTCCAGTCCCCGTACTGCGGGTTTCCCCTGGACATTAAGTCTGCTCCCAAGTTCAGGGCTCCTGGAATGTGAGTGGCTCTCAGTGACAACAGATTGATGCTGCTCCACATGATCAGTCTGCGAGCCAGCATGTGCAAAGGACGGGAACGTAACCCGCCCTGTCTGTTGATGTATGCCACAACAGTGGTGTTGTCTGTTCTGATCAGAACATGGTGGTTTCTCAACAGGGGAAGGAAGTGTATCAGTGTTAGAAAAGCTGCTAGCAATTCTAGCCAATTTATATGAGCACCCCTCTGTTGTGAGTCCCAGCTGCCGCTCACTGCTCTGCCCTCGTGAGTGGCACCCCAACCCGTGAGACTCGCGTCCGTGGTCACCACCTTTCTGGCTGTGACAGCCCCCAGTGACACCCCCTGAGTGAGAAATGTGGGATTTCTCCAACAGTGGAGTGCTGCAGCGCAGTCTGCTGTCACTCTGATATAGCGGTGGGTATGGCGCTTTCGATTCAGTCTCAGTGATGCAACCCATCGCTGAAATTCCCTCATATGCAGTCTGCCTAGTGGGATGACTGCCAGTGAAGACGCCATTAATCCCAGCATCTGCAGGCATTTTCTGAATGGGAGATATCTTCCCAACTGAAAAATGCCGGCATGTGATAGCATTTTTTTTTTACTCTGTCCACAGAGAGACACGCTCTGTACGAGGCGGAGTTTAGAGCTATTCCTATGAAAGAGATGGCCTGAGCTGGCTGCAGGACACTCTTTTGGTAGTTTATGGTGAAACCCA